TTATTTATATATTTTATATATTAGTCTTTGGTTGAATATTTTTTTACCAGTTTGTGGCTTTCCCTTTTACTTCTTTTATGGTGGATTTTGATGAACAGAAGATCATGGTGGGAGTGTAGATTTATACAATCAGTTTGGAAAATTTTGGTATTATCTATTTACACTAAATATATGCCTGTCTTATGATCCCAGCAATTTTATTTCTACTCCTATACCCAAGATAAATGAATTTGTGTATGTATATGTGTCAGTGTGTATTAAAGTTTTATTTACACACACACACACACACACACACAAACACACAAACACACACACACACACGCACACACACACACACAGAGTCACCCTTCCCTATCCATGGTTCCACATTCATGCATTCAACCACCTGGATTAAAGATATTTTAAAAATTAACAATATAAGAAAAATAATACAAATAAAAACAATACAAAAATTGTTTACATAGCATTTATAGTGTATTCATATTCTATGTAATCTAGAGATGATTTAAAGTATGTAAGAGGGTGTGAATGGGTTATATGCAAATACTATGGCATTTTATGTAAGCAACCTGAGCATCAGCAGATTTTGGTAACTATGAGACGTCCTGAAACCAATCTCCTGTGGATACTGAGGAACAACTATATTTATATGTCAAAGACACGTACAAGGGTGTTTGTTGCAGCTTTATTCATAACACACAAAAAATGGAAACAAGTGTACTTCAGTGGCTGAATGGTTAAACCAAGTGTGATAAAATGAAATAACTAACAACAATCAAAGGAAATGAACTGTAGAAAAATGTATCAACATGGATAAATTTGAAAAACACTGTTGAGTGAAAGGTATGCATAGAATAGCACCAACTATAATTCCTTTTTCATGGACTTCAAAAACAGACAAAACCAAACTATGGTGATAGAAGTTAGAGTAGTAGTTACCTCTGAGAGGAGGCTGATTGAAAAGAGCGTGAATATTTATGAAGTACTAGAAATGTTTAAAATCTTAACCTGGATAGTGATTAGATGAGTATAATGTATGGGTGAAAATTCATCAAATTATTCTCTTTAAAACTTAATTCTGGGAGTAGAGTCTGTATGTTATACTTCAACAAAATCACAAAATAAATAATAAAATATTTCAGATGATTTAAATATATCTAACTTTAAAAATTGGAAATATATAAAATCAAACACTCTATTTTAAGAACCACACATAGTAGTACGTTTTTATGGTACTGTCATCCTCAAATAGAGTGAGAATTAAGTACCCTGCTTGAAGTATGTGGAAATACGTAGAAACATTTTTGGCTATTACAATGAATGTGGTGCACTATAGGCAATTAATCCTTATCCTAGGGTGCTAAAGATTCTCCAATGAACAAATTCACACAACTGTTTTTCCCAACCGAAGATCAATAGGTGGTATGAGAGGGGCCCAGATGGCTGATTAGAAGCAGCTGTGGTCCATGGCATTCACAAAGAGGAATGAAAGTGGCGAATGAGTTCAGCACTTTCAACGAAAATATCCAGGTTCTCGCATTGGGATTGACTAGGCAAACAACTAGACCCATAGAGAATGAAGAAAAGCAGGGTGGGGAAACAGCCCACCAAGGAGTGGCACACAGCCAGAAAGCAAAACCCACTCCCAGCCAAGGTAAATGGTGAATGATTATGCAACCCTGCTCAGGAAATCACACTTCTCCCATAGATCACTGCAACCCACCAATAAGGGGATCCTCTGTTGAGCCCATGCTACCAGGGACTTGGGTCTGATACACAAAGCTGTGTGGAGTCTTGGCAGAGCAGCTGCTCAGGCACACAGAGACTCAGGAGTTTTACATACTCCAGCCTTAGTATCCCCAGCAAGGTGTGAGATCCATTTGTGCGTACACCTAAAAAGAGTGGTAAATTAAGAGAGCCAAGCAGTGTCATTCTGTAGGCCCCACTTCCATGGCACCATACAAGCGAAGACCCCTTGGCTTGTAATTCTAGCCAGCCAACTGCAACAGGCTGAAGTCAGCCTGAGGTGGAATAAAGTTCTTGGCGGGAGAGGTGGCTGCCATCTCTGTGGTTCAGTTGACTCAGTCATTCCAACCTGCTAGCTTTGGAGAGTACAAATCCAAAGGAGGAGGAAGGATCCCTCACAATGAGGAATAGCTACTTTGCCAGGTTGTGGCCAGGCTGCTTCTTTAAGCAGGGCCCCAATCTATTCCTTTTCACTGGGTGGAGACTCTCTGTGGGAACTTGATCCACTCCAGCCAGGATTATACAGAGACCTCTGATCTCTCTGGGACAAAGCTCCTCAGGGGTGGGGCAGCCACCATCTCTGCAGTTCAGTAAACTCAGTCATTTTAGCCTGCCTATTTTAGAGAGTGAAAACAATCCTGATGAGGAAGGATCAGTTTGGAAAATTTGGGACTTATCTATTTATGGTAAATATATGTAACATGATGCAGGACAGCTGCTTTGCCAGATCATGCCCAGACTTTTTTTGTTTTTGAGATGGAGTTATGCTCTCATTGTCCAGGCTGGAGTGCAATGGCACAATCTTGGCTCACCACAACATCTGCCTCCTGGGTTCAAGTGACTCTCCTGCCTCAGCCTCCAAGCAGCTGGGATTACAGGCACATGCCACCATGCCCAGCTGATTTTGTACTTTTAGTAAAGACAGGATTTCTCCATGTTGATCAAGCTGATCTTGAACTCCCCACTTCAAATATCTGCCTGCCTCAGCCTCCCAAAGTGCTGGGATTACAGGTGTGAGCCACTGTGCCTGGCCAGACTTCTTCGTTAAGTGGGATCCCACTCCATTCCTCCTTACTGACCCCTCCCTGTGAGGTCTTCAGCCACTCCACCTAGGGTTATATGGACAGATCTATGAACTTTCCCTGGGATGGAGCTCCCAGGGGGAGAGGTGGCTGTCATCTCTGTGGTACAGTTGATTCGGCTATTCCAGTCTGCTGACTTTGGAGAGGATTTTCTGGACAAGAGTGTGTTCCCTCCAGTGCAGCACACCTTCTCTACCAAAAAGCAGCCAGGCTGCTTCTTTAAGTTGGTCCCTGATCCCACTCCTCCTGACTGGGTGAGACTTCCCAACAGGTCTCGAGACACCTCCTTTAGGTGTGTTTGGACCAGAAACAGGTCAGTACCCCACTGGGATGGAGCTTCCAGAGGGAGGAGCAGGCTGACATCTTTGCTGTTTCACGGCCTTTACTGGTGATACATTCAGGTATGAGAAAAAAAAAAAAACTGATGCAAGTAGGGTCTGAAGCAGACCCCCAGCAAACCACAGCAGCCTTATAGGAGAGTGGCCTGACTTTTAAAAGAAAAAGAAACAGAAAACAACAACATCAACAGAAAATACCCCATAAAAAACTCATTCAAAGGTCAGCAACCTCAAAGATTGAAGATAGATAAGCCCACAAATGAGAAAGAATCAACACAAAAATGCTGAAAAAGCAAAAGGCCATAGTGCCTCTATTCCTTCAAATAAATGCAACACCTCTAGAGCAAGGGCATAGAACTGGGCTGAGGTTATATTCCTCCCTAAACTGGCTATTATGGTTATCAGCCCCTGTATTATCATGATTCTCAGCCTCTTGGCTGAATTGACAGAAGTAGACTTCAGAAGGTGAGTAATAACAAACTTCACTGAGCTAAAGGAGCACATTGTAATTCAATGCAAAGAGGCTAAGAATCATGATAAAACAATATAGGAGCTGATAACCAGACTAGCCAATTTAGAGGAGAATATAACCCACCTGACAGAGCTGAAAAACATAACATGACAGCTTTTCAATGCAATCACGAGTATCAACATCAGAATAAACAAAGCAGAGGAAGGAAT